TATAGCTGTATGTTTTCCTGTAGACATTCTTTAGCAAAGTGGGAAGTTTGCCACTATTTCTAATTGGCTGAAAGTTTTCATCATGTATGGATGTGGGATTTTGTCAAATCATTTTTCTGCATCAATTGGTGTATCATGAAACTTTTCTTCTTTAGCCTGTAGAGGTGATAAACTACAATGATTGATTTTCAGATGTTGAAACAGTTCTGCTTACCTGGAGTAAATCTGACTGAGTCACGGTATATAACTTTACACGTTGTTCAATTCTATTTGCCAATGTTTTGTTGAGGATATTTGCATCTAATTTCGTGAGAGAGATTGGTCTCTAGGTTTTTTTTGCTTTGTTTTTGGTACCATCTTTACCTGGTTTTGCTGTCAAGGTAATAATGGCCTCAAAAATGAGGAAGGAATGTTCCCTCCCCTTCTATTTTCTGGAAGTGATTGTAGAAAATTGGTATTAATTCTTCATTAAGCGTTTGCTAAAATTCTCCAGTGGGCCTGAGTGTCTCATACATTTCATCCTCTCTTCAAACATCTACACCTTCCTCTTGCTCGGATAATGGTCCTCATTCCTCTGTCATCTAGTTTGAAAGCCTCAGGCTGTCTGGTCCAACATGGACCAATGGCCTTGGGGAGTGGACTCCACATACCTGTTCAACTTTTTCAGCAAGTAGAGGCAGAGCCGTGCAGTTCTGTTGGGGCACCTGCACGGCTCGGCTTCCATCACTGACCCAAAGGGACCTCTAGTGACCACTGCTGGCCTGTGTTCCATGAGCACAGAAATCTCTGCATAACTTTAGCAGTGATTATCTCTGGATTGAGGCATTGTGGATTCTTTTCTTGCTTCATAATTTGATGTTTTCCGAAACGTTTTCCTCAGTTGAGCAGGTAGCATTTGTATGTTGGTAATAGGTGTAAAAGACAAATCCTCGGTTCCCAGGGGCGGGGGATGAGAGCTGTGACGTGTGCTGTGCTCAGCCCTGTGACCGTGGAGGTGAGTCCATTACCTGCACAGAAGGTATGGAACAGACACAGCCCCTGGGAGATTTTGTGAGCTGGGGGCCATCCCATTCCAGTGCTCCAAATTCTACCTGAATACCCTCCCAGAAGAAATTCTTGAAGAATAGGTGGAGGGAACACAGTAAACAGGCAGAAGGAGTCCCCATTACACACACCTGAGGGCCCACTCACCTGTGAGTCCCAGCAGCAGAGAGTGCAGAGGTGGGTGGGCTGGGAGGCAGGGACAGGCATCCTTGTGGCCCTTGGAGCCTGCTCTGTCTGAAAGTGGTCCTGGAGACGTCTTGGGCTTTGCTCTGAGGAGAGAGCACAGTTCCTTCCTCCGTGATGTCAGTGGTAGGGGATTGTGATGAGAGGAAATGCCATGGGACTGTGACAGTTTTTCTCTACAATTATAAATTTCACTGACAAGTTTGCTACAAGCTGAGAAGTTGTTGCTGGAAATGTCCATGGTTTCCAGAGTGGAGGACGCAAACTCTGCAGGATTGTGCTCCTTCCTAAGCCTTGTTTCATCTGAGGTTCTCCCCAACCCCATAGGCCTTGACTATCTAGGAGCCCCTGGGACGTGGTGTGGGCTGGGGGATTCTGGAACCTCGTGATGGGCAGGTGTGGTCCGGCTTCTGCATGAGCCCAACATCTGGGCCTCACTGAGCTGCACAGCTACAGGGAGGAGCCTGGATCTCCATGGCCTCGCTCTCTGGCAGTAGAGTTGAACTTTACAGGAGACCCCTTCCCTCACTCCAGAGCTGTCAGAGGTAAAAATGAGCACTGATGCAGTGTCTTCTGTGGGCTGCTGGTTTTGCTATGGATCCCTGGAAGTTGTCTCCTTCACTTTCCTGCAGAGGAATTGTGTTTGACAGGGAAAGAGGTGAGAGCTTTGGAGATTGTGATGATTTGTGCTTTAGACGGTGGAATGAGCCTACAGGGAAGGTGAGGCTGGGGGGAAATTCTCCAAAAGGGAAAACAACACACCTATAAACACACTTGGAAAGTTGAGGGCTATCTCTCCACTTTGTGCTGTGTTTGGGGCCACCTCCTGAGAAAGGAAGTGGAGGACAGGAGAAACAGTCTCAAAAAGAGAAAGGAAACAGCATGTTGGCCTCCTTCTTTTTCACCTCTGGGATGGTCTCTACCCAAGCACAAAGCTGGTGTCCAGGGATATGTTGGCCAACACTCAGCTGGTGACCCTTTAATGTCCAAGCATCCACAGTCAAGCACTGAATGCTATGGCTGTTCCCCATTGCTTCCTTTTGACCCCTGCCTCCTCCTCAGGGACTGACTGGATGTCAAGGCCAGGAGAGGTGTTAGAACAAGAGGAGAATGCAGAGCAGGCCCATTCATCCTCTATGAGGTGGCAAGACTCCTCCTCCCCTTGTGAGGTCTCCATTCTATCCTGTTGTTCTGAAATGATGAATTCCGTGCTGGGAGGCCCATCCATGGCCCCTGCTGAGAACCAGACAAACCCTTTGCTTCAGCCTCCATCATATTACCCTTCCTCACAACTCCAGCAATCTTCCCACCTTCCACCAGACTCTAATCTCTTTGGAGGGTGGGGTTTTTAGTACCTTGATGGTCAAGAGCATTGGATTTGGAGTCAGGTACAATGTAGGTTCCCTATCCTGAATCCACCTCCCAGTAGCTGAGTAATCTTGAGTCTGTCATCCAGATGTATGTATCCTTTGACTCTGAAATCTTCATTGCTATATCTGAAATATTTGAAACCGAGTTCATAATCTGCACTCAGATATTCTCTTCTCCCATCCCACCCCGTGCAGTATGTGGAACATTATCTGTGCATTTGGCAAAACCGAGAAGGGACAGATAATCTACACCCTCGCTCGTGCACTCATATCTGTCTCCTCCCAGACCCTGTTAGTTCTACTCCTAAATACCTCTTGATCATCTCTTACCTGAATGAAAACGATTACCTCTTAACCAGGCTACCTCCATCTTCTTTCGTCCCCTGTAATCTCTTGCTCCTAATTTATCCAGAGTGGTCTTGTATAACACAAATCTGACTACTCCCCTCTCTGGCCTAAACACTTCTGTGGATTCTCATTGCTCTTAGTATAGTAAGACTATATGGTCTATGGTATATGGTAGTATAAACAATCCCACCTTCCATCACTTCTTGGCCCTTAGAGACAAAGGAGTACCCACTTTTTCTGGTACTCAACTCCTCTTTCTCCCAGGTCGGATACCTTGGGAAATAGACTCTGAGATGAAGATTAACAAGCAGTTCATTTTTCAGGAGGATCTTTAGCATCAATATCTGTGAAAGGAAGGAGAAGAAAGCAGAATTGGGAGAAGGAGAAGTCGAGATGCCATGAACTCCCAATGAAGACCTCAGCTGCCTCCCATGGAGCTCTAGTGCTGGGATGTTCCTTCAGAGTGTCCTGAGCTGGAGTGAGAGCTCTGGGCCTTCATATAACCATGTGGATGAGTCATGGTTTGTGGCATGTTACCAGGCATGACCTTTTGCAAGCTAGCTCTCCTCACCTGAGGCAATTCCAAAGAGGGCTGACAGCTGAGGGCCGTCTTCTCCAGACTGGTGCATCACAACATCCACCAGGCTCTTCAGAATGTCTTCCACCTGGGAATCCTTGGACTTAGGACAGGTAGTAATTCCCCCACTGTGAGATCCTCAAACAACCTCATCTCACCCGGGTAACCCAAAGTTCTCGGGGCCCACTTGTTCTGACCTGGGCTTTACCAATTGGAGACATATAGGATGAATATTATGGAGGACTGAGGAGCAGCTTCCTCTGGGATCTCTGAGTGCCTGGGTCTGGAGTGAACTCTGGCAGAGGACAGAAGAATGAGGACAAGGAAGCTCAGACTTGTGGAGCAAGATAGAACTTGGGTATATTAACACAGAAGTCTCCCACATTTCCTTGTGTTGTTCCTCTAGAAGGCGCAAGAAGTAGAGATCCAACTGAGGACAAAATGGTGAATTTTCTTTAATAGATTTTTTTAAAACTTTATATTTACAGAAAAATGGGGCTATAATAGGGACTTCCTATATACCGCTGCATACAGTTTCCCCTATTATTAACATCTTTTTTAAGTATGGTACATTAGTTTCAATTAATGAACCAGTACTGGTACATTATTGTTAACCAAGTTCATTGTTTATTTAGATTTCGTCTTAGCTGGGGCTGCTATAACAAAACACCATAGTCTGGATGGCTTATAAACAACAGAAACTTATTTCTCACACTTCTGGGGGCTGAAAGTTCAACGTCATGGTGCCAGCGTGGTTGCAAGAGGCCCCTCTTCCAGAATACAGATTTCTCATTGTATCCTCACATGGTGGAGGGGGTTAAGGAGCTCTGTGGGGTCACTTTTATAGGAGCACTAATTCCATTGATGAGGATGGAGCCCTCGTGATCTAATCACCTGGCAGAGGCCTCACCTGCTACCACCATCACACTGGGCATCAGGATTCTAACATATGGAATTTCAGGGGGACAGAAACATTCAGATCATAGCATAATCCAACACTGTATTTATTTTTTGCTCAAATTCTTCCAGCTTTGGCCTTTGGGAGCTCTTTCACTTGGTTCCCGTATCCCTTTGACACATTCAAATCAATGAGGTTGTTTTCGTGGTGGTGGTTTTTTTTTTTTTTCACTTCCTTCTTTTCTAGACGATGTTGAATTTTTCATGGGATTTGTTTAATGCTGAGGAAGATTCACCCTGAGCTAACATCTGTTGCCAATCTTCCTCTTTTTTTGCTTGAGGAAAATTAGCCCTGAGCTAAGATCTGTGCCAGACCCCTCTGTTTTGTACGTGGGGTACCACCACAGCATGTCTGACTAATAGTGTAGGTCCACCTCTGGGATCCCAACCCACAAACCCAGGCCACCGAAGAGGGGCACGCCTAACTTAGCCTCTACGCCATGGGGCTGGCCCCACATGCAACTTTTTAAACACAAAGAAGAGAAAGTAGTCTTTAAAGAAAGGGCTTTAGAAGACAAAAGTCAGGTGATGGAATGAAGGAAAGTTTTATTTTGAAACCCAACATCAAGTAGAAACTAACGTCCTTGATAAAGTAGTCATTCAAATATTTTTTTAGAATGTGCTGCTCTGCTATATGACAGTCACTGTTCTGGCAACTGAGGATGCAGATAGTCCCTTCCTGGTTAGACTGACATCTATTTGAGGAAGAGACACACACACAGGCAGATCTCACTTTGCACGGCGCTGATGTGCATGAAATTCAGACGCCACAGCTGAGTTAAATAACATCAGACTCTCAACACACGATTCAAATTCCAGTTACCACAGTAAGTTTACTGTGAGCAATTCCATACATGCAAACTTTGCCTCCAGCTCTTCTTCAGTCCACAAATCACTGTGTAACTAACAGATGCTCATCACGATCAGTGACCCACCACGTGACTTCTTTCACAGTCTTCAGTGACTGGTCACTGTGACTCTGTTACTCAGTTTATGCACAGACTGCAAGACACATTTTTGTATTGTCTCCTTGTCTCCCAATGTTTTCTAAAACATGTGTTTTAGAAAAGTGAATTATTGCCAAAGGAAATGGGCAACAGAGGTGAAAGTGCAGCAGAGAAACAAAAAGTGATAATGCTGGAAGTGAAATGCAAATAGAATGTAAGTGGAGTTATAGAAGAAACAGCTAGCCGTGGGGATGCTGACACTGATCCTGCTAGAAAGAAAGATTTCAGATGTGCAGCCTGAGGAACTCAGTGACTACAAAACTACCACATAAAGGAGGGAAGCTGTGGTGAGGAAAAGGGTGAAAATGTCCCAGAGGCAGTGACACCACAAATTACAGGAACTTTCGTAAACATTTCACAACAGTGAGAGCACAAAGGATCAAATGTTAGAAGCTGATGCAAACTTAGAAAGGACTGTGATGGTTCACCAAGGTGCAGAAAAGACGCTCGCTCTGTATCCTAAGTTATACAACACGAAGAAGGCAAACACTGTTCAAACTGCTCTCGATACATTTTTATAAAGAGATAAAACACTTTAATTTTCCATGTTTTTCATGTTTCACATGACAGCAATATTAGTTTTTCTATTTCTTCATTTTCCTCTATATGTAAAACTGACAGTAAGAGAGTTTCTAATGTTTCAAAAAAATTTTGAAGTCACAGCACAATCATTATTAGTCCCATTGAGTATTGAGGTCACTTTCCATGGTTTCAGTTTGCAGGTCATTCTTACGGTCCTGCACTACCGTGCAAAGTCAGCACTGCCGTGTTTAGTGTGTCAGATGGTAGTAAGTGCTAAGGAACCAGACCAATCAGATCAAGAGGAATTGGAATGCCAGGTGAGAGAAGAATTGATATTCTATATAGGGTGGTTTACAGAAGGGGCCTTTAATGGCGTGACATTTGAGCAGAGTCTTTAAAGAAGGGAGAGAGTGAACCATGCAGGTGTGTTGGGGGAGAAGCAGAGCAGTGATAGGATCTGACTTACATTTCCAAAGACTCTCTGTGGTTGAAACAGGAAAGCCAGTTAGAGACATAGCGATGGTGCAGGAAGAGATGATGGTGGCTGGGACCAGGGATTGGTGGTGGGCGAGAAGTGTGCAGATTATGGATATAACTCAGGGGTGTGGAGGGGAAGGCTTGGACAGGCTCATGAAAGCCGACTGTTACATTTTCAGGATTTTTTTAAGGTGGTTATTAAATGGTTGTTAGGTTGAAATTGTGCACACTGGGAGTGTTTTACACGACAGAAATCGTCAAGCACTACAAATCAGGTTTGTCTCTTTTTCTTTTGTAGAATCAGTTGTTAAACATTTGCCATCTCACCGCTGGACATAAGCATGTTGAAGGAGGAACTGAATAGGAGAAAAAAGATAAAGAGAAATCAAAGATGACTCCAAGGCTTTAAACTGACAGCACGTTACCATGAGCAACAGGATTGGGAAGGATGCAAGATGATAGAAGAATTTAAGAGTTCACATCACAGAGAGAGGAGGGAAAACTTCTTTTTGGGTTTGAGGAAAAGGACATTTAGGGAAAGAAGAAAGAGAATAAATTCTTATTCTTAAAATCAGGATGGGGGTTCACTTGATCTCAAGAGGCAATAGAGAACCTCAATAAGGTTGTGAAGTCGAGGATAGACCGGAGCCCAGAAGACAGAAGAACTCTGGATGCATGGAATAAGGTGCTTCATGCACAAGTCCCAAGGCGATGGATGAGAGCTATCCTGATATGGGTAGATTGGACTTGTTTCTCACATTGTAGGGAGATGAGGAGCCAGTCCCCAGAGCTAGTTCGCATGGCCACTGCTCAGGACCATGTATGAAGACTCAGCTCTGGGAGCATCGCGGACTGTGGGAAGGAACAGCAGGAGAGTGTGAGCAGGCAGGTTTCCAGGGAGGGGAGGCATGTGGAGCAGAGTCGTGGAAGCTTCTAGTTGGCTCCTTCTACTAGGCTGGGCCCCTCAGGGAAGGAAGGAGGCAACAGAGACTGAGGGTGGCATGTAGCAGGAGAGGAAAGAAGGAGCTGTGGGAAACATGTCCACATTTCATTATCTGCTCATCATTACGGAAGTCTTCCCTGCGTGCCTCCTCTGTCCCCGGTGCTGTTCTCCTGGGATGCCTGTTATGAGAGGACAGGCAGCCATTGAAAAGGACTCTGCCACTTCAACCTTCCTCCCCAAAGCCTGGTACCCTTCCCCATCCCTTCCACTCTGTCACTCAGAAGGTCAGAGCAGGAACAGCTCTCAGAGCAGCAGATCCGGGACTTGTCAACATTGCTCTAAAATGTGGATTCTTTGCCCCTGGAGCCCCAATGTTCTAATAACCTAGAGATGGTCTCCACAGGAGCCACCCACTCAGCTGCCCCTCATTCAGCCTCTCCCTTCCCACTTCTACCACAAAACCTCTAGGACTCTGTGGACACTCTGAAAACTCTTGATCCAGCCCACCTCCTACAGGACCCCACACAGTTCCTGGGATTGAGAACCTCTTAGAGGATCCACGATACTCCTGAGGGTATTGAGGGAGATGTATCCCCTTCTCCTCATTCCACGTGGGACCTGACTCTGTGTGACCTGTGAGCTGGCCCCTCTTACTGATTTTCCCCTTTATGGAACAGACCTTGTCCTGCCCTCCCTGCCCCACAACTTACAGTCAGGCCCTCCGCTTCCTGTGGACATAGAAGGCAGAGACACCGATGGCCAGCAGCACCTTTGTGCCTAGGAGGAAGACAACCAGAGGGGTAGTAGACAGCTCTCGGCCTGGAAAGCAAGGGACAGGAGGAGCCATTAGAGGGGCCACACAGGAGTCATTCCCAGGCCTCCACTGACTCCATCTGAGGCCACCTGGGCCATCAGCATTCTGAAGCTTTTGAACCTGCATCCTGCCCTGCACTCAGGCTAGAGGCAGAAATCAGGGTTCAGAGGTTCCTCATTCTCACTCACCCCCTTCTCAGGCTGCCAGGGCTTGTACTTCTATGGAACACATATTATTATCCTCATTCTGATGAGGAAACTGAGGCTCAGAGAGTTTGGGGGGGTGGTGCATCACAAGACTAGTGGGATTCAATCCTAGGGAAACCCATCACTTTTGTCCTGTGAAATGACCCAGAGATCTTCCCTTGTGGACCAAGACAAGTCCAGTGTCTCAAGGTCGTAGGAATGAATGTGCTCACCGCGTGCAAGTGGAGTGAGGACAGGTTTCACAGTGGGTGAGAGAGCTACAAGTCTACCCTTGTTCATACTAGGGGTGAGGCTGGATGACCGCATGTTCCCAGGAGCTGAGGAAGGCCTCAGGTAAGCTGACCTCATGAGACCTGCTGTCTGGAGAACACTTGGTGAGTCTAGGAAATGGGATCTCACGCTGGGGAGGGGCTCCAACACCATCCAGCCCACTTTGAGCCCAGTGAGGATGGCAGCTGAAATCTTTCTGTTGGAACTGGAGAACTGTATCTGGAGAAGCACACTGTGGGGTTCTCTTTATTTACAATGAGCAGTTTTGCTTTTAAAATTAAATAAACATATTAACATAATTTTTAATAAATCAAATCATCCTTAAGGAAGGAGAGGAGACCTCAGCCTCTTTTGCTCTTGTGGGTGTTGCAGGATGACAGTTCTCACTGAGCGGCTCTCTGGGACTTTCTGTCAGGTGAAGGGAGCTGCATTGCCTGAGTTTGCACCTCCTTCTGGAGGGCAGCTCGCATCAGAAAGACTGGCTGAACTGGAGTATAGAGGCTCAGCGCTCTCCCCTCCATTGAGAACAGCTCTGAAGACCCCCAGGCTGTACAGCTCTGTGAGACCGCTGAGTCTTTGTTGTGCCTGCTTTGTAGGTCAACAGCTCCCTCTCCCAGGCCTGCTCCTTCACAAATGCATGTTGATCCTGGCAGCACTCCACCATAAGCTTCTACATTCTCATCTCCTTTTCAGAGTCCGCTTCCCAGAGGACTGACCTAGGGGAGTTCATCTGGGAGTGCTCTGGAAAGTAAACTCTAGACGCAGATTTGGAGCTGGATCACTGGGCTGGCCAAGAGGACCCCAGCACTGTCGGGAAATGGAGCAGAGGGAGGCCTGGGCTTCCCCTCATGGTGCAAGTGTTCAAAGTTCACCAGTTGTGAACTGGGTGGGTATGACCAGAGGTAGGGAATACTTTGGGTCAAGCATTTGAAATTCAGTTGGGAAATGGTCATTATAAGGACTGTAGAATTGCATGGCTGTTGCTGGGGCATCAGTCCTTTGGAGAAAGACAAGGAAAATTAGAGAGATTAGTCCCCTGTTAAAGATTAAGTGTGAGAGCCAGAGGACTTCCTGGCAGCACTGCAGAGTCTTATCTCCTAGAGCCAGAGGGCAGAGGAAGAGGAGGATTGGGCCCAGGACATGATTATATTAGCAGAGCTGCAGAGGAGGTTGAATTCTCAACTTCACTGGGACTGCTCTGCCAGAATAGGGCCCTGATGGGAAAGGACAGACCCTGAGATGTGGGACAGGCACATATTGGACAAAGCACTCAGGAATCTTAGGTGACTTCTGCGCGCTAAGGACAATGCCCGCAGCACAGCTCCTTGTCTCCAAAAACAGCCTCTCCAACCACAGGAAAACATAGAGGGAAAAGTACATTCTACATAAAACTGGATCTCAGTATCACTTGAAGAGAAAATCCTAGAACTGCAAAATAACTGTGAGTTAATGAGAAATATCACCAAACCCTAGTGCACAATCGGTCACTAGGCTGCCATCCCAGCCTCACCCAGCCGCCAGGAAAAGCAACAGGGCCGCTAGCAGAGGAGCCTGAGAGTTATTCAGAAATCCCACCGCCAATATTAAATCTACCTTAAATTTGAAAATGTGTCCTCCAGGTTAGAGCACAGATCATAGGAAATGGTTTCAAAGTCCACCTGATTGAAGGGTTCTTTCTCACAGAATCCTCAGAATTGTGAATATGTTACTTACATGGTAAAAGGCATAGTCTTGGTGATTAAGGATCTCGAGATGGGGACACCATGTTGGGTTATCGAGTAGAGCCAGTGTGATCACAAAGATCCTCATAAGAGAAAGAGGGAGGCAGGAGAGTCGGAGAAGGAGATGTGAAGACAGAGTCAGAGGTCAGAGTGAGGGGGGCCCTTACCGAGGAATGTGGGCAGCCGCTAGGAGCTGGAAAAGGTGAGGACAGGGAGTCTCCCCTAGAGCCTCCAGAAGGAGCGCAGCCGTGAGCCCATTGTAGACTCCTGACCTCTAGAACCGTAAGGTCATAAATTTGTGCTCTTTAAAGCCACTGAACATGTGGTAATTTGTTACAGCAGCAATAGGATCCTAATACAAGGAGGCTGGGACATATAAAGGACAGATGTGACTAAAGGGACAGGCTCAATTTAAAGTGCATAACTTCTGGGGCAAAAAGGCAAAAAAGAAGGAAGAAGTGCTGTTTGGCAATTGCGTGGTGATGGGAAAAAGGGAGGGAGGGAAATTTCAAGGTCCTGAAAGGAAAAGAGAACCAAAAACCTCAGAGGCCTCAGAACCTTTCTCCCACTGTCAAAACCAACCAACCCAAACTCCGTTAACACACTTAGATTAGGCTGTACTGAGAGAAGAGAGAGCCATTAAGCTAGAAATATTATAAAACACCCCAATACCATAAAAATGAACACAAATATGTGCACCCTCATATCAGACACATTGTACCCAGGACTGCAGTGGCTGAAGCCCTCGGACACCTGGGGAAGCCTGGGCATCCTGCTGCAGCAGGGTCACAGGGGCATCTTGCACTTTGCTCCAGCCCCCAACCTAGACAATCCAAAAACCATGTCCAGCCTCAGTACACTAGCAAGCCTTTCGTTCAGGCACACTGAGAGCACCTGGAAGTAACAGCCCTTGTCTGAGCCCTTGCGAAGATGAACACTAAGGAGCAAACCCGGCTGGTCCAGACAGGATGGCGAAGACCCATCTCTCCCTGATCTCCCTGCTGACCCCAGAAACAACACGAGGTACCAGCACAGGAGGACTCTGGAGGGAAGACGAGGAGGCAGACTGGATGGGCCCCTGAGGACTGGAGTGAGAACACAGTCCCTGGGGGTCTAATCCCCCCTCCCAACTGCCCAGCACAGGAGGAGACCAGGATGGCATTAGACAAAGGAGGAGTGTAAAATCAGTCATCACATTCCTGCCTCAAGAAATGAGAAAAGGAGGAACAAAAGAAACCCAAAGCAGGAGGAAGCAAATAGCAAAGAGAAGAGAAGAAAAATCAATGAAATTGAAAACAGAGAAGCAGTAGAAAAAATTCCTGAAATGAAAAGTAGCTTCTTTGAAAGTATCTACAAAATTGAAAAACTTTTAGCAGGACTGATGATAAACAAAAAGGAGAAATGGCACATTTCCAGCATCAGGAATGAAAGAGGAGGCATCGCTACGGACCCCACAGACGTCAGAAGGATAATGAGGGGAGACTGTGAGCAAGCCTACAGGCAGATGTGACAGCCAGAGAAAACGGACCAAATTCCTCAGAAAGCACAGCCTACCACAATGCACTCAACATGAAGTGAATAATTTGAATAGCCCTAAACATCAAGGAAACTAAATTCATAAATTAAAAACTCATGAAAAAGAATTCTCAAGACACTGACAATTTCACAGGAATATGCTACCAAGCATTTATAGATGAAATGCTTTCATTAAATTTATAGGTGAAATTAAACCAAGTTTGGTGCAAAAAAAACAGCTATAAAAGATATTTGGGAAAATGTGAGCATATGCTCCATCTTAGATGATATTAGGGAATTACTGTCAATTTTATTAAGTGTGTGACGGTATTTGTTTTGTAGAAAAACCAGTCTCCTTAATGATATGACCACACAATAGTGGGTCCACTTGCACGCAGTTGTGCATAAATGACAAGTTATTAATGGACACAGTTATGCAACTCTGTCATCCTTTATGTTAAGGGAAATTGTTTTCCCTTCCCTGTCTTTACTCTTCTTTCAGGCAGGGTCGTGGACACTCGGTGTCCCAGAGTTGATCCAGCAGATGAGGACAACACCTTAGAGCAGATGGAAGGAATGTGGCCCATTGAAAGGTCTTCTGGAGTAAAGACTCCTGGAAACCTGACCTGACTCCCTCTTGACATTACCTGAGAGAGAAATAGGACATATTCTGTTCATAGAAAGGGGAACTCTGTAGGTCCTTGGACAATGCCCAGCTGAGGGCATTGTGTCTCTTATTAGCACCTATTTCCTGCACAGGCTGGTGGTCCCTGTTCTCAGGGACTCAGATTTACCTTGATTAGGTTAGCCCAATCTCCTGGTTTAACAGCAAAAAGTCTTCGACATCATCCCCCACCTTGGTCCCTGAGCCTCTTCTGTAAAACTCCAGATGCCCAGGGTGGTTGAAGCAGGAAAAGAGATCACAGATGAACTGGCATCTGCATATAGTAAATGTGCAGTGAGTGGTTGTGATTATTACTGGTACATTGTCAGAAATCAGGGAACAAAGGAGGCCGGTGGTGTGACCAGTCAGGGTCGACCAGATGCATGGTCCAGACTCACACCTCATGTCCTCAAGACTCTGCTTTCCAGAATTTCACAGAGTAGTAAGTGCAGAAAGCTGCTGGGGGGATATTACTAATGTGGATGGAAAAATTTAGGATGGAATAGAGATTAGGCAGAGTTAGAAAGAAGAAGGAGGAGGGAGGCAGGCTGACATGGATGGTGACGTCATCATTGTCAGGTGAAGAAAGCAGGAGGCAGGATGCTGTGAAGAGGATAAGCTCCCTCCCTCCTTTCTTTCTTTAGCATGTATTTATGTCAAGGATCTGTAAAGTTAGGCACCAAACTCTGACCAGCACTGACTCTTGGAGGGTGGGATTTAGGGGTGGGGAGCTCAGTTCCAAATGCTACTTTATATTTATAGACTTCTAGATTATTCTATAATAAGCAATAATTGCTACTTTTAACATTTAAAAAACCCAAAATTTAAAAAGAGCCACATGAGTTGGAGTGGAGGGCTCACCAGGGGTTCCACCTGTGTCCTGCTCCTCCTGGTGGGCAGAGGCCTTCAGCGTATGCTGTTTGGTGACTGCTGGCTGCCCGTCATGCTCCACTTGGCAGGTGAGCACCACACCCTCCCTGTGGGCAGGTGAGTTCACCACGAGCCAGCTTGTCCAGTTAAAGCTCCCATCCTTGTTCTCTATGAGGGTTGAGGCCGTTTCTGTTCGGGTCATATTTCCATTCTCCAACCAGGTCAGCTTTAGGTGCCGCGGGTAGAACTTGTTCGCCTGGCAGGTGATATTCTCTTGGTTCCCTGCCATGGGGTGTTGGGAAACCTCCAAGGTGGGCGGAACTGAAACAGCACAGGGCAGAAGCTCTGACCTTATGGAACAGACAGATCACAGAGGAGGGCTCCATAACTGACCTGCCACTACAGATGGGAATCACCCAGGACAGTGCCAGGCATGCAGCAGGTGCTCAAACACTGAGGCTACTGTTTGCATATGAATGAATCACAAACCACAGTGCTGGGCGCACAGTAGGTGCTCAGGGACTGGTAGCTCCTATTAGGGTCATAATAAGTGAAATCAACAAGCACAGCCCTTGGCATAAAGTGGGAGCATAACTGTAGCAAAATAAATAAAATCACCAAGCATACAGGGGCTGGGCTTAGAGTAGGTGCTCAGTAATTGGAGCCATTATTGGTAAAGTAGACAACACTAACTAGCACAGAGCTTGGCACCTGGCATGTGTCCACTAAAAGAGGAGTGAGTGACCAGCACATCCAGGAGCCTGGTGATTGGGAAGGACTGTCAGGAATTGGATTCAAGGCAATTCACACCAGGAGCAAACAGCGGGGGGAGGAGCCGAATTGGGGACTTGGGGGCAGGTGCGGGCCTGGGCTGGGGGTGAGAGGCGTCTACCTCGGATGGTCTCAGACAAGTTGGCCGTCCCACGAAGAGGAGGGGCCCCCTGCAGGGTGATGTGGGCCACCTCGCAGATGACCTGGGAGCGAACATCCCCCAGGGCCAGCACCACCTGGGCTGTGCTGGACACGCTGTAGGACACGCTGTCTCCCTCTGGGTCCACGTTGGTCTGGGAAGCTGAGAGCTCATTGCCATTTTTGAACCATTTCAGGGTGATGTTTCTGGGGGAGAAGCCGTGGGACTCGCAGGTGAAGCTCACTGTCTGCTTGGGCGGGGCCCTCGCCGTGGGGCCCGATACCACGGGGGGAGAGGGTTTGGCTACAAAAGGAGCATTTACAAACAATAAACATGATGTGATGTCATCACTAACCACAAGCGCGTGACCCTGTTAAGAACCTTCTCATATATTATTTTTTGCTTCTTCTATTAGTGCTGGGAGGGCAGGTCATCATCCTCATCTTATACAAGAGGACACACGGGCTCCAGAGGTGGACTCTGAGAAAGGCACATGGCTGTGGGAAGACTCAACTGCTACCATGTGTAGGTGAGAGACTTGGCAATATCCATCGAAATCAAAATACACATACCCACAGGCCTAGCAATGCCACTTCCAGTGGGCATCTCCCACTCGAGTAGAGCGGTGCAGGGCTGTTTTCATATCCCAAGGTTGGGAACAACTTTGTATCCGTCAACGGAAGACTGTCAAATTAATGATGCGATCTTCATATGACAGGGTGTTATGCAGCTGTTGAAACAGTGGGCAGCTCTAGGTGATGGTGTGGGATGCTTGACTGGGGATGATGTGGCTGAAGGGGAAGAGAGGCTTCCAAATCACCTTAGGCCTGAGGGTTTGAATGGGAGGGGCATTCTGAACCTTGGGGAAACCAGAAACCGAAAAAAAGGAGAAATGCTGGCCCTCTGTTCAGTGATTTGGTGTAACAAGCTTTTATTCAGCACTCACAAGGGGCCAGGCTCTTCCAGGGAAAGAGTGTCCAACGCTGGGCAGGAAGCAGCCTGCCTGGAATCAGACCTGGGTTCTGGAATGGTCCTCTCACTCAGAGGCTGTGTGACCATGGATAAGTCCCCGATCATCTCTTGGCCTCAGGCTCCCCATCTGTACATGGGACGTTGGGCTGGATGGGTCTAAAGGTCCTTCCTGTGCTGAGATTCCAGGATTCAGGACCCAGCCCGCTGGCAGAAAACGCTGAATGAGCCTCTTTGCTGCCTCAATGGGGAACTCCTAAATCGTCCACATGGGGAACCTCTCCCCTGGGTGAAGGACATTCTGAGATCACCCGGCTCTGGCCCCAGTCTTCAGAGACTGTGTGAGTCGGTCCCTGAATCACACAAGGGTTTTCTGAACAGCCACACAGCAAACACCCAGCCTCTGTGCATCTCCTCCAGCCAGGCTGTCAGAGTAAACAGTGATTCTGTGCCTCCAGGGATGTCCTCTCAGTGTGATGTTTCTGAAGATGAAATGAAGAAACACACATCTTCCCCTCCCCTCCCTGCCCTGCGTGGATTTCCCTCACAGGGAGGGAAGAGAACGTGAGCTTCCTGAGAGAAGAGCCTTTGCCTGCTGTGTCCGCTGCTACTTCCCCAGCACCCAGGGCACAGCCTGGCATACAGTAGGTGCTCAGTAAGTGCTCAGTAAAGGGAGACTCGGCCACACTGAGGGGCACTCTCTGGAGGCAGGGCGTGGTCTGGCCTTGTGACTGGGCAAGTCACTCAGACTTTCAGTTCCCTCGTCCCAGGATCCAAAGGGCTGGACATGATCGGAAAAGGCAAGAGCTGTGGAGCCAGGCAGATGGTGGTTCCACTTCCCCCATTTACAAGTCGTGGGGCCTTGAGCAACTAGCACGACCTCTCTAGGCCTCAACTTCCCAGATCTATAGAAGGGGGTGAAATCAGATCATGAGTATAGACACCCACTGCCACATCTGATTCTTGTTGTTGCTCAAAAAGTAGAGGGCATTATTTTTGACATGTTGTCACACACCATGGGACAAAGGAGGCCCACTCTGTACTCACCACTCACGGTGAGCTGGGTGCCTGGTCCAGACTTAACCTCCACGTCAGGACTCCCTTTCCGGAACTTCACGCAGTAGTAGGTACCAGTGTCTGCTGGGGTGATGTTACTGACGCGGACGGAAAAGTCCATGTTGTTTGTCTCTGTGTTGTCTGAAACATTTGTGACTCGGGGGAAGTGGCCTCCTTTGAAACTGTAGATTAACTCCCGGCCTGGCCCTGTCCCCCTGAACCACTGGACGGGCCCCACAGGGTACAGGGAGGTTAGTGTGCAGCGCAGAGTGGCCGTCTCTCCAGCTGCGACGGACACTGACTTGTCAGGCTGATTCACCTGCAGCTCCTCACCTGCCGCTCCTGGGGGGAAAGCAAAACCACGATTTATTCATCTTTCTGTGATCCTGTAGGTTTTCTCAAATGTTTATCAACAACAGATCTCACTGACTGAGTGCACACTGTGAGCCGGCCTTGAGCTCAGCATAGTCAGTGGACGCTGCATGTAACCCTCACAACAAGCCTGTAAGGTGAAACTGTGTCACAAATGAAAAACTGAGGCACAGACAAGTCAAGTGATGTGGCAAAGAGTGGGTTTGAGTGCCTGAGCCCTCTCTGGGGGTTTCATGTTTCACCAAATATTTCTGGCTGTCCACTTTCTGGCCTCATGGAGTGTTGCACTTCTGGACTTTTTCATTGTGTGGGACCATGAGACTTTTTTAGACCACTGAGTTGCAGGTAGATGTAATGAAGGAATTTTTGGGGATATGCAATTAACTGCAAGATCCTCTATGCATCAACTTCCCTCATATGCAGAGATCCACATGCTCATGATGGCTCTGTTCCACCAGACTGGGTACTTGAGTGACAGTGATGAGCAGAGCTCCCAACACACAATGAACATGTAGTTTAAATAAGAAGCAAAACATTGTTTCAAGTTCCTGGGAATTTTTTTTTTCTGTAGCATAATCACGTTATATTAGTTTCCTCATCCTGCTGAACAAATTGTCAAAACCTTATTGGCTTAAAACTATAGAGATTTATTATCTCATAGTTCTGGAGGTCAAAGTCCACAATTGGTGTTTCTGGGCTAAAATCAAGGCGTCAGCCGAGCTGAATTTATTCTGGAGACTCTCTTCCTGGCCTTCCCAAATTCTAGAGTCTGCCCACGTTCCTTTCCTCGTGGTTCCCATCTTCCTATCACTCCATCCTCTTGCTTCCATTGTCACTTGTTCTTCTCTACCTCTACTTTCCTGCCTCCTTTTCCCCCCTGTTTTTAAAATTATTTATTGCAGTCATATTGGCTTATAACATTGTGTAATTTGAGGTGTACATTATTGTATTTCAGTTTCTATACAGACTGCGTTGTGTTCCCCACCAATAGTCTACTTTTTATCCATCACTCTACACACATGCCCCTTTACCCCTTTCGCCACCCCCAGCCCTCTTCCCCTCTGGTACCCACTAATCTGTTCTCCTTATCCATGTGTTTGTTTATCTTCCACATATTTGTCTTTCTCCATCTGACTTGTTTCACTTAGAATAATACCCTCAAGGTCCGTCCATGTTGTTGCAAATGGGATGATTTTATCTTTTTTTATGGCTGAGTTGTATTCTGTGGTATATATGTATGGATGTATATATGTATGTATGTGGTATATATATACACATATTTACCACATCTTCTTTTTCCATTCATCTGTTGATGGGCACTTAGGTTGCTTCCACATCTTGACTATTGTGAATAACGCTGAGATGAACATAGGGGTGCATAAGTCTTTTTGAATTATTGATTTCATGCTATTTGGATAAATACCCAGTAGTGGAATAGCTGGATCATATGGTAGTTCTGTTTTTATTTTTTGAGACTCATACTGCTTTCTATAGTGACTGTACCAGTGTGCATTCCCACTAACAGTGTATGAGGGTTCCCTTTTCTCCACATCTTCTCCAACACTTGTTATTTCTTGTCTTGTTAATTATAGCCGTTCTGACAGGTGTAAGGTAATATCTCATTGTAGTTTTGATTTGCAGTTCCCTAAAATTTTTCAAGTTGAACATCTTTTCTTGTGCCTGTTGGCCATCTGTATATCTTCGTGGAAAAATGTCTGTTCATTTCCTCTGCCCACTTTTGGATCAGGTTGTTTGTCTTTTTGTTGTTGAGTTGTATGAGTTCTTTACATATTTTGGAACTTAACCCCTTGTCGGATATACGATTTGCAAATATCTTCTTCCATTTGGTGTGTCGTCTTTCCATTTTGTTGATGGTTTCCTTTGCCATGCAGAAGTTTTTTATTTGATATAGTCCCATTTTTTAATTTTTTCTTTTGCTTCCGTTGCGTCAGGAGACGTGGTGTTCAAAAAGACTCTGAAAAGACTGATGTCAAAGAGTGTACTGCCTGTATTTTCTTCTAGGAGTTTTATGGTTTCAGGTCTTCCATTCAAGTCTTTAATCCACTTGAGTTCATTGTTGTGTATGGTATAACAGCTCACTTTCATTCTTTTGTATATGGCTGTCCAGTTTTCCCAACACTATGTATTGAAGAGACTTTCCTTTCTCTGTTGCATGTTTTTGGCTCTTTTGTCAAAGATTAGCTGTCCATAGATGTTTGAGTTTATTTCTGGGCTCTCAGTTCTGTCCCATTGATCTGTGTGTCTGTCTTTCTGCCAGTACCCTGCGATTTTGATTACTATAGCTTTTATTATATTACTATATTATATACTTTTAGTATATTTTTAATTCAGGGAGTGTGATACCTCCAACTTTGGTCTTTTTTCACAGGATTGCTTTGACAATTCGGGGTCTTTTGTTGTTCCATGTAAACTTTATGATCACTGTGGCAGGCGTCCCACATATAAAGTAGAGAAAGATGGGCATAGATGTTACCTCAGGGCTGATCTTCCTCAAAAATAAAAATTTATTCCTAGGTATCTGTTTCTTTTGCTGTGATTGTAAATGGGATTGTATTCTTTATTTCTATTTCTGCTAGTTTGTTATTAGTGTATAGAAATGCAACTGATTTTTGTATGTTGTTTTTGTACCCTGCAAATTTAGTGTATTTGTTGATTATTTCTAATAGTTCTTTGGTGGATTCTTTAAGGTTTTATACATGTAGGCCCATGCCTTCCACAAATAGTGACAGTTTTATTTCCTCCTTTCCAGTTTGGATAACTTTTATTTCTTTTTCTTGCCTAATTGCTGTGGCTAGACCTCCAGTATTATGTTGAATAAGAGTGGAGAGAGTGGGCATCCTTGTCTCATTCTTGTTCTCAGAAGAATAGCTTTCAGTTTTTCCCCTATGAGTATGATGTTGGCTGTGGGTTTTTCATGTAGGGTCTTTATTATGTTGAGGTACATTCCTTCCGTGTCCATTTTATTGAGAGTTTTTATCATAAAAAGATGTTGGATGTTGTAAGATGCTTTCTCTGCATCTATTGAGATGATCATGTGATTTTTTTTTTTGTTATTCATTTTGTTAACGTGGTGTATCACATTGATTGGTTTGTGGATGTTAAACTATCCATGCATCCCTGGAATAACTCCCACTTGATCATGGTGTATGCTCAATGTATTGTGGTATTCAATTTGCCAATATTTTGTTGAGGAATTTTGTTTCTATGTTCATCAGCAATATTGCCCTATAATTTCCTTTTTTGTGTTGTCTTTGTCTGGTTTTAGTATCAGGTTAATGTTGGCCTCATAAAGTGAGTTAGGAAGCTTCCCATCCTCTTCAATTTTTCAGAAGAGTTTGAGAAGGATAGGTATTAAATCTTGGTAGAATTCACCAGACAAGCTGATTGGTCTTTGGGTTTTGTTTTTTGGGAGGTTTTTGATTACTGTTTCAATCTCTTTACTAGTGATTGGTCTATTCAGATTCTCCATTTCTCTTGATTCAGTTTTGGGAGGTTGTACGAGTCTAAGAATTTATCTATTTCTTCTAGGTTATCCAACTTGGTGTACAGCTTTGCATAGTATTCTCTTATCCTCCTTTGTATTTCTGTGGTATCCGTTGAAATTTCCCCTCTTTCATTTCTGATTTTCTTTATTTGAGGCTTCTTTTTTTCTTAGTGAGTCTAGCTGTTTGTCAATTTTATTTCTCTTGTCAAAGAACCAGCTCTTAGTTTCATTGATCCTTTCTAGTGAGTTTTTAGTCTCTATTCTGTTTATTTCTGCTATGATTTTAATTGTTTCCTTCCTTCTGCTGACTTTGGGCTTCGTTTGTTCTTCTTTTTTCTAGTTCTGTTAGGTAGAGTGTAAGGTTGTTCATTTGAGATTTTCCTGTTTCTTGAGGTAGGCCTGTGTTGCTATAAACTTCCCCTTAGGATTGCTTTTGCTGCATTCCATAAGTTTTGGTATGTTGTGTTTTCATTTTCTTTTGTCCCCGGGTATTTTTTTATTTCTCTTTTGATTTCTTCATTCATCCAATGGTTTTTCAGCAGCATGTTGTTTAGTCTCCACATATTTGTGACTTTTCCAGCTATTTTTCTGTAGTTGATCTCTAGTTTCATAGCTGTAGTCAGAAAAGATGCTTGATATGATTTCGGTCTTCTTAAATTTATTGAGACTTGTTCCCAACATATGGTCTATCTTTGAGAATGTTTCATGTGAACTTGAGAAGAATGTGTATTCTGCTGCTTTAGGATGGAATGTTCTATATATCTCTGTTAAGTCCATCTGGTCTAGGGTTTCATTTAAGTCCACGGTTTCCTTGCTGACTTTCTGTCTGGATGATCTATCCATTGAAGTAAGTAGAATGTTATAATCCCCTGCTATTTTTGTGTTGTTGTCAATGTCTCTCTTTAGGTCTGTTAATAGTTGCTTTATAGACTTTGGTGCTACTGTGTTTGGTGCATATGTATTAAGTTGCATATATGTTAATAAGTGTTATGTCTTCTTGGTGGAATGTCTCTTTTATCATTATACAATGTCTGTTTTTGTCTTGTTATCTTTTTTGTCTTAAAGTCTGTTTTGTCTGATATAAGTATAGGTATGTCCACTTTCTTTTGTTTCCCTGTTGCTTGGAGTATCATCTTTTATCCTTTCACTCTGAGCCTATGTTTGTCTATATTGCTGAGATGAGTCTCCCAGAGGCAACATATTATTGGGTCTTGTTTTTTAACCCATCCATCCACTGTGTGTCCTTTGATTGGTAAATTCAATCCATTTCCATTTAAAGTGATTATTGATGTATGAGCACTTACTACTGCCATTTAATCTTTTGTTTTCTGGTTGTTCTATATTTCCCTTGGTCTTTTTACTTGTTTTTCTCACTGCCATTTCAATTTATTGATTTTCTGTGACTTTTTTTCACTTTTCTCTTTATTTATCATTCATGACTCTGCCCTGATTTTTTGTTTTGTCC